GCACTTCTAAGTACTCGACGAATGTTTGCATTGATCTAAAAGTACAGTTTTCCCCATGTGATGCCAAAGAATCCTTACCCTAGCAGTGAGCTTTAGCAGATGTGTTTGGGCTTGGCAAGGGGGGTCATGGTGAACACTGATGCTTGCTTAGGAAGGAGAGTCACATGGAAGCTAAGCGCATAGTGCCTTGTGGGAACTACACAGTCACAGTCCTAACTAGAGAGAGACATAAATGAATTTCCAGAGTGAAGGAAGTGGAAGCGATACCTCTTAAGACAGCTGCTGACAAAGCAGCTAGGTGGCATTGAATGCAGAACTTCTGCTTCCAGGCTGGAAAAGGCAGGGGCCACTAGGCCTGTGGAAAAACTATCCTAGGCAGCAAATCCCCACTATTCGCATGCAGGCATTAGAGCCTGGAGGGATAACTTCTGCCGTGAGAATGCATTCAGTCCAAGTTAACAATGTGTCAGGACCTGTAACCTGAGGACAGGTTTTGTGACAGATGTACTTTTGCTGGTGATAGTAGATGCTTCATGAATATTTTTTGATGACATTAAATTTTGTTGACATTAAATTTAAAAAATTGTAGAGACAAATATCTAAGAAAAGTTTTACTTGGGAATAGAGCAATGCAATAGAAATATGTATGCCATAGTAAACTATATGCATGTTCAGGGAGGTAAAGGAGACAGAGTTTTGATTGAAAAATAATGGAGGTTATGGGATAATTATCCTTAGCTACCAGGATCAATAACAAGGGTGATGCCAATCCGAGGCTGAGAGAGAGTTGCTGGGCAGATGTCCTTACAGAAGTATTTTTTGTCAAGGTTGTGATGGCCCTTGTTCAAGTAATGGATTAGCAGAGTCCTTTGTGATGGTTCTTGTTATCAGGCATTCGTGCATGAGAACCCTCCCTTCATGGCCTTTCCTGGCTCTCTTTCTGCTTTTTTTTTTTTTTAACACAAACGAATCCATTTTTTTTTCCTTTTTGTCTTTTTTCGTGACCGGTAACAGGATCGCAACCCTCGGTGTC